CAACATCTACAAATTTCAAAAGAACACCTCTCCATGAGGGTGTTTTTACAATTCACTCTTCCAGGCTTGGTCCCTTGCACTGCATGCTCTGCATATGGAAAGGGATTAATAGCAGAGCATAGAGGGATACAATGAACCACTGGGTTAAATGGAGATCCAATAGCCATGAACAGTGACTTGGGACCTGTGGCATTAAGGAGGTGGTACTGTAGTTTATCCGAGATTTACATAAACCTTCATTATAAAATTAAATATGTACCTTGGGAAAGAAATCAAAAGCTATACTTATCAGGCAGATCCCAGCCTCTTTCTCAATCCCTCAGGAAGGCTGAGTGGAAAGGAATTCTGTAATTCATCATGTGGAAGTGACAGTAAATGTCTTAGAGTTAATGAACTCACAGGGATAAAGCAGATGACAAGGGATGATGGGAACAGACTGGGAGGTCTATCTGTCCATGTTTGCACTGCCGGTCTGAAATGTTCTCTGTCTGAGGGAGGCTGGAATTCTTTCACCAGCATGTAAAAGTGGTTTTTGCTTTATTAACCTAACACGACTGGACATCTCAGACCAAATCCTTCATCTGAAAGCCTAACTCTCATTTACATTGAAGCTCTTTACCCAACTCTGCCAGTCGAATAATCATTTATACCCATTTTAAGACCTTCCCCCATACAGTCAGGCTACGTCTAGACTGGCATGCTTTTCCGGAAATGCTTTTAGCGGAAAAGTTTTCCATTAAAAGCATTTTCGGAAATGTGCGTCTAGATTGGCAGAACGCTTTTCCGCAAAAGTACTTTTTGCGGAAAAGCGTCCGTGGCCAATCTAGACGTGCTTTTCCGCAAAAAAGCCCCGATCGCCATTTTCGCGATCGGGGCTTTTTTACGGAAAACAAATCTCTGCTGTCTACACTGGCCCTTTTGCGCAAAAGTTTTTCAGAAAAAGACTTTTGCCTGAACAGGAGCGGCATAGTATTTCCGCAAAAACACTGACAATCTTACATGAGATCGTCAGTGCTTTTGCAGAAATTCAAGCAGCCAGCGTAGACAGCTGGCAAGTTTTTCCGGAAAAGTGGCTGCTTTTCCGGAAAAAGTGGCCAGTCTAGACACAGCCTCAGTGACTGTAAAGGGATCTTGGTGTAAATGAGAATGAGCCCCAATTTAATCTTTATTCAATCAAACCTCCTAAAATCTGCCTCCTTAAGTTACTCCCAAGTAAATCTAGAGAAACTCTATTGTCACTCTAGACTTGCAAGATAAATATGGAATCAAGAAGATTGTGGCAGATACAGTGCCAGCTCTGTTACACTCTGCTGCAGTCAAGAATCCGGCTTGTGATACTATACAATGACTTCTTTAAGTGTTGCAAGCAGTTAACTGGTTTGACTGTAAGATGTGTCTGAACTTTTCTCTAAACTTTTTAGCTGGTAAAATTAAGGTTTTGGTTAGTGGGTTGAGATTGCGTTCTTGTCATTGGGAGTGAGGAAAAGTGTATGACTGTGAGGGGCTCACCCTGTGTGTTGAATGTGGACTGAATAAGGAACCTAGAATTTGCTCCTGTGTGTGCTCTTTTATCTATGCTCTGTCTTACATGTTTTCTGGACTGTTTCCATCCTGCCTAGACCCTCTCATCTTCGGTCTCAAATCTGTACATGCTTTTCTGACACGTGCGCTGTGTGAGCTCTCTCCTGGGACTTTTTATACAGCCCTCGTGACTGCCACTGTAATGATGGTTGTGCTTGTTTTTTTGTTGCCTTGGCTCCAGAAAAAAAAGAACGTATCTACTGATAGAGACAGCTTGGAAGCAAAGTAAAATTCCAGCTTAGTCACTCATTAAACTTGGGAGGGGACGTCTATGAAGTGAATTGACTGGGTGTAGCTCTAAGAAACAGAAAGGGTGTTAGCGCTGGCCTTATCACTGAATGCTGCCTGCGATAGCTGCCCAATTCTGCAGCATGCTGAGACTATCCTCTAGGAAGCTAAGCAGCTTCAGCAAGGGATTGGGACGCAGTTAAAAGACTCAGCCTCTACCATAGGGCACCAGCATATGTCAGGAAAGACGGTTGGTGGAATATTAAACTGACTGAAGTGTTGAGACAAAATAAATATTGGTCTTGATTCACCTCTCCCATTCCAATTAGGAATAGTTCCATGGAAGTTAATGAAATGCCACTGCTAAGAATAGTGTAAGAGAAGAATCCACCCCATTAAAAAAAAAAAAATCTTGTTCCTATGCGCTACTGACTATACTTGACGTTGCTAATCCAGAAATAATTGTTAAAATCTCATTGAGTTTTCACCATTTATGAGGTCATAAACAGATGGCTTAATCATTTATTAAAACAAATAAGCATCACAGATACTTTAAATTAAAGTACATTAAAGACTCCAGTGTAAATTATACACACGTAGCTCATCTAGGCAACCTTGATGCCTATGGCTGCTTTTCACCCCCACTCGTTGTGTGCCACATCCCTTGTTACATCTTGTCCTGATCCTGCAAGCAGCTCTGGGTGAGCAGTGCTCTTCACCCTCATGGACTTCTCTTGAGACCAACAGGATAGAGAAGTCTACACATTTTGCACTATCATCAGGATTGGGACATCAGACTGTAAACTCTTTGAAACAGGGACTGACTTTTACTCAGTTTAAATAATAGCCAGGGGCCCTAATTCTGATTAGAGATCCAAATGGTCCTGTAATGTAAATAAATAGCAAGCTTAAAAGTCTGGTTATCTTTTGCTATTTGGGCAGTGAAATTAAACTAAACTCTCCAATTTCACTTTCTGGTTCTTGTACATTATCCCAGGTACCTGCTGTTTAGATTCCTGGAGAAGCAGGGACTACTGCACTCAAAGGAGCGGGTAAAATGGGATCCAGTGGGGGCTACCCCTCCTTCCTCCCAGCATCCCACTAGATCCAGAGCTGTGCAGGGGAGATGCCCCATTCTTGGGGCAGTAGGACCCAGATGGTGCTGCTCCTCCCTCTGTGTGGGCCTTGGAGAAAACAGCAGAGAGAACCCAGACAGAGACTCCAACCAGTAGGGACAGAAGCAGCTAAAGCAGGGCTCTTTGATCCTCTGGACATGTGGAGAAACTACAATTTGTTCTGTGCTCCACACCTTCAGTCTCTTCACTTCAGCTTTACTGTCGACCTGACCCCATTATCCTCTTTTCTTGTGCCCTGTCCTCCCTTACCTCTTCCCTTTTCTTTCCATTTAGCTGATCCCCTCTTCAATAAACTCCCCTACCCCAAAACAGTGAGGGAACTAATATGCTATTTCCTGACATCACGTTGTTCTCTCTGCTGGGGTGTTCTTCCACTTTCCCTGATCCCTGGTCTTGTCAGGACTGTGAATTTCTTCAGGCAGCAACCACCTGTTACTGTGTGTTTGTAGAACATCTTGAATAAGGGATCCCACTCTTGGTTGGCCCTTAAACCATTACCATAATATACATAAAAACAGTTTCACAGACAGATGCAAACCCCATGCAAAAAAAGTTCTTACATTGAAGTTGTTGAAGTAATTAATAGTATTATGAGTATAACCTTTCATTAAAATACATAATTACAGCATTATCACTGAGAAACATGTACATTAGAAAGACAGGAAATGATCAGCTAAGATAATTTACATAAACATACTGTTTCCTTTACAGAAAGTTTACCTTGCAGATTCTGTAACAGCCTCAACCTTCTGCCATCAAGACTTTCTTACAAATGCTTTCAACATACCATGCAGATCGCCACCCATCTGTACATGTGTGTAATTGGTGATGTGTCTATCTTCTGTGTCAGAGTTCAGGTTGTTACTTGACTATGTAAGGTGCACATTGCAATACTGATATTACTGTAATGGTAATTAATGTAAACTAGCTAGCAATATTCTGTCTTCTGTATTGTTTACGTTATATTAATTTCTTCAACAAATTTAAGTCTAAGTTAACAAAGATTTTTTGGGGGGGGTGGATTTTCTTGTGTGTGTAAAAGAAATATAACGATCCTTGAAAGCTTCATCTTAGGCTATGTCTGCACTACAGTCTGAGCAATCCCACCGCAAAGCATATTGGAGTTGTTGCATCCACACTGATGCTGAATACACTTATGTGAGGCATTCTGACTTTTTCAGTTACGTCCTCTGTTTCTCAGCATGCACTAAGCTGCATCACATTAATTTTGCAGTGTATTGTGGGAGAACTTGTGTGTCCTTCGCGGGCTCCTCTGTGGACATTCTCTTCATTTGCCAATCCAGAAAGTAAACTTGCTTCCAGTTTGGCATGATCTAGACTTCTTTCCTTGGCCTCGGTTCCAGACAAAGGTGAGGCAGGGATCCAACTCAAAACAATGACCTGTTGTAACTGTTGGCATTAATGTAATTATCATTTTGGAACCAGGAGGCAGACAGAGCATGAGGTAGGTGGGGTCATTTGGCAGCAGCCTGAGAAAGTGGGGTTGTTCCCTTCTAAGCATTTCCTGCAAGCTGCATGCAGATATGGAACAGTGAAGACAGCTAAGCATAGAGTGGTGGAATCACATTGTTATGCAGACCTGGGACAATCAGAAATGGACCCAGAATTTCCACAAGAGGAAGGCCATCTTAGACTCCAACCAGGATGGCAGTTAGTGCCAGCTGATTTGCAGCAGGATGCCAATTGATTTGGGACTTTCCATTTATAGCCCACAGAGTATAAAGCATTAGAGCTAAAGAGCAGAGAAAAGCTATATCACGGTTTGTTACAGAGACAATCATCTAGAGGACCCACTCCACTGGCTGAAGAGAGAGTGCACTCATACCATACTAATGAAGATAAGCGAAACTGCCAACATCTCAGTGATTAGTAGGGAGAGGAATGCAGATTATCTGGTTTGGCTACTGGAGAACTATCTACTGACAAGCAGAAAATGAAGGGCATGCAGTTGGCTAAACAATCACTCAGCCTTAATTTTCTCTGATGTGCATTTTTTCCACTCTCAATGTTGCCTCCTAGAAGTGAGAGAACCAACAGCTAAAAAGTGGGATGTCGTCTTTATTCCACGTTACTACTATCAGGCACTGCAGCACCATTCCTTACGGTATATGGTATTACTATTATTTACATTGTGGTTGCATGTGGAGTCTCCATGGTGCTGGGTATTGCCTCACACACAGATTGTTTTTGTGCAGAAATCACAACAGACAAGATGAAGAATGGGGGGAAAAAAAGAAATAGAATTATCCCCATTTTACAGGTGGGGAAATGGGGGCATAGTTTGTGTGCCTGGAGAAGAGCTGTGTTGCTCAAAAACTTCCTCCCACCCACAGAAGTTGCCCCAGTTAAAGGTACCTCACCTAAGACTTTGGCCCAAGGTCACACAGGGAATCTGTGGCAGAAATGGGAACTGTGTGTCAATTTCCCCAGATCCCACTGTCTACACCAGTGCAAAAATACCCCCCTGCAGGCAGGTCGCTGCCTCCTGGTTTGGCTGTAAGGCCAGTGGGTCTGTCTGTGCAAACCATTCCAGGGCTGCTTGAGCCCACGATTGGAGCCACTGTGAGCAGAGCCTTGGACCCAGCAGCCTCCTGCTCCGCTCTAGGCTCAGGCTGCAGGCAGCCAGGGGACACTCCATTCCCTGCGAGGAAAGGGGGGGAGGAACAGAACGAGGAGAGCCCAGTGCGCATGTGCTAGAAGTTTTGCCAAGGTTGGACTAGGGGGAATTGACATGCGCACTGAGGGAGTGCTGGGGCAGTGGGTGCATGCGTGCAGGAGGACCCGGGCAAGGAACGGGGGCGTGGCCACCGCGCGGGGGCGTGGCCAGCCCGGGAGGGGGCGTGGCCAAAGCTGTTCTCCCTGGCGGAGCTGCCACGGCTGGCGGGCGCCGGCCGCAGCCGCCGGGGGCAGGGGC